AACTATTTGCCGTTGACAAAATTATTTATTGTTCAAGAACTTTTATTGATCGCAGATTTCCTCTTTGAATCGGCATAGATCGTTTGGGTCTTGAAGTTCTATCCATGTTGATAAGACTCGCATAATTGGATCTTATTTGGGCGTGAAGGTCAGACCTTCACGTCCTTTAGGTTCTAATATAGAACGGACCGAAAGGTCAGACTGTAATACTTGAATATTTTATAGTAACCAGTCACATAATTCGTTGCCTTCACGCTATCGTAGAAGAGAATATTTGTTGTATTATATGAGGATACAGAGAAGCTGTTTTTCCCAGGAATAATCTGATGTAACCCAGCAGCCACAGCGAAATGCGTGGATTTTTCCAACAACAATACCAGTTGAAAAAGCTGGCAATGCATTTCTCGCCCAGTCCCGGTAATCACCAGTGGGCTTCAGACCGCGGTACATGCTGGGCAGAAAATAAAACCAGCAAATATAACGGCGGGAAAAATTTGGTGAGCAATTTTGTCCAGTGACGACCTCCTACCAGGCATAGAGGGGGACCGGCAACGCTTGTGTAGGATTTTGACCAAATCTTTGTCCCGCTCTTCAACGCCTGATTATATGAGTGGGCGAGCCATTCACAAAGATGAGTGAGAAATTTCAAAGATTACTGATAAAATCTTTAGAAATCTCTGGATTACGTCTTGATTAGGTCAAACGATTCAACTACCTTAAGTTGAGTTGTATCGACATGGGGATGTTCGTTTGGTAAGTGGAGGTTGAATTGTAACTAACTAAATTGTAGTAACTAAATCAGACCGCCTTTGCTAGGCTTTTTGTGCATTTGTTTGATTACTTCTTTGCAAGCATAATGCAATCGTTTGATCGAAGCACCTTTCGCTAGCAGGTTAATNAGACAGAATGTGTAAAGCTTCAATGTGTAAAGCTGTAATTTGTAAGGCTGAAATGGAACAGACATGCTCCGATCTAGTCCGCAACGAACTAATTTAAAGTTAAACGCACTAACTCACGGGACAAAACAAGTTGAGAGGCAAAACTATTTTCTGCAATTTTAATCTTGATAAGCGATGCGAATGATAACTTTTCTATAAAAAGCTTAAAATAGACTCACACGATAAGATCAGTGCAGTAGCATTGAACTGTTTTGAACGTAGTTTGTTAACGCCACATCACATGAAGCCGAAAATTCATTCATTAATAATTGACGTACGGTATCGGCACGCACATTGAAACAAATTTTTTATGTTTCATGAAAACAGATGAGGTAAGTACTACAGGATTTGTGTGTGAAGATCAGAAGCTTGCTGGAATACGTCATGTTGACTACAATCTTAGAAAAAATTATTCTGACCTTTTTAAACTGAGTAAATTAATAGTTCTCGCAAGAACAACAAAAACCAAATCAGTCAGGTTTTGCTTTGTTTTTTTTTCCTGTTAATGATTTGTTTGTATGGGATTTGTAACCCTTTGATGTCAAATTATTGTTATTTATATATTTTATATTGATAGGGATTCACAACAGAGGCTAAACTGAAAAATATTACTCACAGAATAATAGCTTCAATGCCTGTGTCGTAATTTAATCCACCAAAAAGAATCTGTGACGCTTAGTATTTTATTCCATTTCAACGAGGCTCTCGCAACAACACAGCCTGCAGTATCAATTAATAGAATGAATAATGAATTCACGTCGTGCTCAAACGAAAATTGATGAAAATCATTTTGATATTGAATTCTACGAGCATAAATCGAAGATATTTTGTAATATCCTTCTCTTGTTTTGTTGCTTTAAATTACAGCTGAAAATCATACAATACAAATTTGTTCGGACTTTTCTGCGTTTTTGTTAGTAATCGGATCTTCTCGTACTAAAAAAATTCAGTATAAGGTCCCGTATGAATCACTATACAAAATGTATGTATGTATGTAATGTATCTTCATATAAAACTTATGAAGCGTTGTTATACATCAACTTCCATCGTGTATATTTGCTGCTTAATTTTGAAGCGGCGTCGACGTCGGTTTTCATGCCATGGCATGACGGAAGCAGCTGCAGTCATGTCTGTACAGAGGGCGCCGTGTTTTGATTCAATTAAAATGTCAATTAGGATCTGAAATGCATTATGCCGCGCCAGAGAAGCGTCTGTACGAGCAGACTGTCGCTGCTCTCGTGTCAAAGAGAGCGTTCAACGAAATCCATCACAGTTAGGGGAATTATTTATTCCTTATGTTCTAATTTTTATATCAAGAATTTTTTATCGACATTTTTTACCTCATGATGAGGTTTCATGTTATTTATAGACTCATTCGTGCCTCGTCGCAAGAATTATGTAGCGCGATGTATTAATAAAAAACATTTCAACAATAATATTTTCCGAAGGTGTATAACAACCTCAAAGTTTAACTTAAAAATCCGGCTTAAGCGAGGAAAAGTATTGAATTTAATGATAAACTAAATGCAATTAGCAACGTTTCCGCCTTGCCTCCGCAAACATCAAAATTGGCTTAGAAGCCTCCTGCTAACGAAGTTCAATTAATTCTGAATAGCTTTTAGCTCTCAAATTATTGACGTAATTCCAGCGATCAGCCATTACTGAAGAGACTATTTAATTGATGAGCTGCGCTTGCCACTGCGCTGCGTGACATCAGAATTTCCTATGGTTTTTTTAGCACAATTTTTCCTCTATCGTTGAATTTGCTGGGCAGAATTTAGGCTTACTGTTCTCGTAGTTGCAATCGGTGTGTTGTATTGATGTATTGATAGGAAAGTAGATTGCTTCTTTCATACTGACCCTCAAGCAGTTAAGTTGGATCCGAATTAATTTTCATGTATCCTTTACATAATTTTTGATACAACAAGAGCTCTCATTTTGTAAATTTTAATGCCTGAATTATTAATTAATCTTTGCAGGAGATGAAATCAAATGTATTCATGACTGATTTTCTTCATTTGCCAAAGGTCACGGAGTGAACGATCTTGCGTAAGCTTACAATAATAATAATTATAATGACATCCTCAGAGCATAACTATCTCATGCATGTTCAATGGCGTGCGTAAGCCCTATAGCGTGATCTCAGACAGGCGGGCAACGTTATCAGGATCGCTCAAATTATCAGAATTAACCAACATCATCAGGATCAATCAACATTAAGCAGATTAATGAACGTAATCTAGAGCAATGATCGCTATCGTGGTCACTGTAATTTCCTTGTCATATCGTTGGAATGCAGTCTGAACTCAGTACCAAATGTAACATGAACTCTAGACCATGTATGTATAATAAACATGACTACGTTGTTTTTTAAGCATGAATGCTTTGATTGCGAATAATTTTTTGGGTCGAATATGTTGCAGATATTGTTTTCATCTCTCTTGAGTTCTCACGTTGACATTGAATATTTTGACATTGCAAAGCGCTAATCAACACAACTTGATACGTTGCTTAACATTTTATTTACCTCAGTTGTATGTACCAAACCCACGTTCCGTGCAGTTTTGCATAATTCAATTCGCAAGGTGCAGAGGAATTCTCAAGCCTAACTGCAACTGCGGCTCAAAAGCTCGTGATTTAATCAGAGCTGACATAATTCACCGACGTAGCCGACAGCACGAGCACCTCAGTTCTGCAGGCGATGTTCATTTGTTTGGTGAGGCAGCACCTGAACATCTCCGACTTATGGAGTCCATGAGACCAGCTCCATCTTTGATCTTGTACCAAGGAGCCAAGAAGAGAATCTCATCTTGTCTCAGATCATGTTATGAAGTCTACAGTTTTTAATGAAAAATGAATTGAAATTTAGCATTGAAATTCCAGTCGAGTTCAGTCACACTTATCTAAAGATTTATTCTCAACATGGCGTACTCCGCATGGGAAATTTTGCTTATATTCAACTAAAAAGTTGTCATCACCATGATAAATATTATGGATTCAAGATTTTATCGTCATGTCTTTATCATGAGAGAAAATTTAAAAAATCAATCCGCCAAACATATATTCATTTATTTTTTGTTTCATACATTAAATTTTTCGTGACAGTATTTCAAGTGGAAGCAACGGTCAGGCTGCGGCGAGAGGTATAGTTCCATTTGCGAGACGTTTTTTAAATTAAAAATATCTTAATCTGAACCATAAATCTTTCATTAACCTCTAGACTATAGCCGTGCACGTAGCTTCATAATTAAATATCATGAGCTCCGAACCTCTATGAACAATTTTTTAACATTCGACAAGGTTACTGCGTTCGCCGTGTCTCGTTTGTAAGGTTTGGATTTTCTGCGTCTGACTCAGACAACTGAGCTCCACTGAATGGGCCTGAGCAAAACAAATGAGCAGGACATTAAAATTGTCGGGCGATGTAGGAGGTAGCAGTTGCTGCGGTTGTAGCACGAGTGGTGGCTGGTGAGAGATCCAAATAAATAATAAAATAAAGAATATTTAGCGAGCGAAAACATCCAAATTTGACTTTAATCAACTCTGGTGTCAGAAGCCCTCATATATAATGAACTTTTAGGTTTATTGAGGGCCATCTCTCCAAAAATTCTATGTCGATCATACACCAAAACATTTTATATGAAATCCTTTAATGAAGCAAATAAATATTGCTATATTAAATAAATTTTTGCATTTTATAGCCACATTTTGTGAAGACGAAATTTTAATGTCGTGGTCTCGCCAGCTGGCTCAATCCAATTTTAATTGGAATGAAAAAATTCCCCTCGATTTTTCGCGCCAAGCATTGCTAGCTTTCGATTTGCTGTCACACAGGCGCGAGTTTCTCGTTAAAATTTGCATTCGCTTCGTTAATGCGGAAAATCAAACTGAAAATACACGGAGGCTGTTCCGTACTAAACTTATATATGACTTTATTTATTTTTTTCACAAGGAAATTGTTGCACAAGGGTACGCCATTTGTGTTTTGAATATTAAGTAGCCAAACTATTAGTTCCTTACCTCGACGAGTTATAATTTAGATCATCTCCTTCTGTTGTGCAGGACTAGCGGCAAGAATGCCAACGTGACGATGAGGGACTGAAACTGGAAGCACCGTGAGCCTCCTTGAACGTCAGCAAGATTCGTCTCCAGATGACGGCGACGACGCACGAATCTTTCGATGACTTCCACTCGAAATAATTGCAACGAAGAACACTCCGGTGAAATTTCAATCTTTTTGATAGTTCGGTAAGGCTGTTTACCGGCAAACTGGTTGTGATACTCAGAACGCGATTAAAATTGTAAGGGCTTAGAAGAGCTGAATGTTGTCTAAATTATGTATTAAATTCACGTCAGAAAATTGTTCACTCGCTTCAAGAAATCTTCGGAACTCCAAAAGGTCAAATATGCATTTTATAGAATGGAGAACGAAAAAGTTACTATCGAGCAGTTTTGTTGCGCTGGCGAAGGTCTCGTTTTTGAAGCGCTATAAACTTTCCGATGACTTGATGAATGAAATATTATCTCATTATCATAATCCATGCGTTAAAAGTCGATTTCACCTTTGAAGAGTCTATTATTTGCTCGAAAAAGTTACTTCATTGGTACCATTTTCATTTCTATCCCGCAAATGGAATTATCGCAGGAGGGAAAGCACCTAACTTATGAGGCAATTAGCTTGCCTCGAAAGTTCCAATTATTTTTGAAGCCCTAATAGCATGGCGAACATCGCTTCGTACACGCCCAGCAAACTTATCAATGAATTACACATTAATTCTCGCTTTCTCTTGGAATTACCTAATCCTATATCGTCTTCTATGATCTCTTATCAACATTCCGTGGACCAAGTTGTCTCTGAGAATAAGACTTACGAGAGTTTGCGCAGCGACAACACTGTGGTCATTTACGATTTCCCTTCTGTGATAGTAGTGCTTATTCTTTTGCTCATCATTGCGGGCACTGTTATCGGCAACATTTTAGTTTGTGTGGCCGTGTGTATGGTGAAAAAGTTACGTCGCCCGTACAACTACCTACTCGTGTCGCTTGCACTCTCTGATCTATGCGTCGCTATTCTCGTGATGCCAGTGGCTCTCTTGAACGAACTATGGGGAGGTTGGGCGTTCGGACCTCTAATTTGTGACATCTGGGTGTCTTTTGATGTGCTCTCGTGCACGGCAAGTATCCTCAACCTGTGCATGATTAGCGTCGACCGATATCTGGCCATCACGAAGCCTCTGGAGTATGGGGTGAAGAGGACACCGCGTCGCATGTTCGCTTACATCGCCATCGTCTGGATAGGCGCCGGTTTCGTGAGCGTCCCACCTGTGCTAATCCTCGGCAACGAGCACGGCATTGACGGCACGCGCTGCGACGTCTGCCAAAACTTTTACTACCAGGTGAGTAAAGTAGTTAGACATATAAAAACGAGGCTCTGATTTTTTTCTATTCATCAGTCAACTCCAATGTTTTGGAAACACAAATTGGTTAGAATTTTGACATCGCTCACGATAATCAATTCGTCAGTCGTGTTTCTGTACTCTCTTAGTTGACAAGGGGGCATTTTTCGAATTTTCAGAAAAATTTCCACGTGTTATAACCCGCTTTTTCCGAAAGTTATAACCCGGCCTCTTGATGCTGGACTTCTTATCGTTTCGAATACTAACTTCCCTCTGATGGTTGCTGCTGTATTTTTCTCTGCTACAAGACTTCACTTAAAGTGGTTTTATTTCGCATTCTATTTGATATTCAATCAGATCACCATGTTTTATAAAGTATTAGATATTATGATCACTGAAGTTAAAAGTGCTCTGCCACAAGATTCATACGTATTTAAATCATGCGTTACAGCTCTAATCATTGCAGGTTGGCGGAAGAAATACAGTTCTCAGGTGACATTACACTGACTCCTCCTCCTGAGCAAAATTTTATGCTCAATCCTATTTGTCACCAACAAAATGCGGTTGTTTATCAACAGGCATAGTCCGACGTGACAATAAAGGATGATTTTATCTTTAGACAGACTTTGTTGCCAACAATTGCCCTCAAACTTAGCTATTTTGTGTTCAACGTCCCTATTAAACTTACTATTTAAACGTCATTGCACTCAATAATTGCAGCATGCGACCATTATACCGAGCGTTTACTGCTTGCGCTACCCTCTTTATAGGATTTTACGTTATTTAAAATTAAACAGTGTACGAAAAAGATCTTATTGCATTGATTCACCGAACATAGGACGCAACCTGTTAATATGCAGGATGTTTATCTGAAAATTTGTGCACGCAGTTAGATGGAAATATACTATAGATTTTTATGGACGAGGTCGCACTCATGCAAATCGCAAGGATCCTTCTCAATAAGGTAATTGCTTAATTTAGGTTGATCGACCCGAGGAGAGTTTTAATCTCTGGGAATCCACAGCACTCACTCAGCACTCGCAATCAGTCAAGAGCACTCGGTCGACTCTGCCTCGTCTACCCCCGACGACCAATTCTCTTCCATAGGCATTTTAATTTTACGGGAGCTCTGTTTCGCATTAATATTCAACGTTCGCTCAGGATAATCCCATCAGCCGGGTTTTGCCTTCTCGGCGTTGATGATAATAACATGCACTTTCCGCCTCCAATGTGCTCCGAAATCTTCTCGATATTGCCAGTTGAGGTAAATCATCTCCAAGAACGCCATTGTTGTCATATTCCTTTGTCAAGCTAAACATTTTTCTCGGCGTGATCTTTCTAAAACTATTTACACTGATAAGCTGCGATTTTCAGATTTATTAAGCGGCCAGCGGTCCCGTTTTTGATCCCACTATTTAGGCTTAGGGGAACGTTCATGGAAGGCACGAGAACTCTTCCGTGCCATAATTGTGAAGCAATCCTATTTGTTGGGTGGAGGTATTTGTTATAACGAGCTGGGATAATTTCGCCGCGCGCGATGAGGCCGTAGGCAAGTAAACACTAAGGAAATGGTGAACGTAGCTGTGTCGTTCTTGCGGATTAGATTTTTTAGGCGTGGAATGCTTAACTGGGAATAATTTTACTACATGCCACAATTTATAGTCAAATTGACCAATCAAAATGCAAACGGAATCAGCCGTACCTATTCATAATAATTTTCACATTTACTTATGGAAATTAATCCGTCGTCAAATCAAATGCTGTCATAAATTGTTTTCTGCATATATTTTCTTCCCTGGCACTATGAGTCACTACTTTGATTCGGTTTATTGTACCGTTGAATTTACATTAATTTTTAACTTCAAGGAATTTTGGATCTTGCGATATTCAGCTTCAAGTTCTGTGATGATAGTACATGCTAAGTCACGGTTATGATGAAACTTTATAAAGATAATTTATTAAATGAATTGTTTACCGATTGACAAGAATGAAATTACATTTGATGGTAAGGCTCATTCCTGTCAAATTAAGTTCCTGTCACCACCTTCTGTGGAAGTGTAATGACGAATAGTGAAGGTAGTGAGGTAGTGTAATGTCGAATTTTCGATTCGTAGAATTGTTTACAGATGATATAAATCATCTGAGCAAACTGGGGTAAGGAAAGTATCCCAGTAAGGTTATGGCATCAAGTCAGGTCGTCTCGACACCTTCGACGAACGCTTCATGGTAATACTTTAGATTAAGTGCATTCAAAAGAAAGGGTGTTTTTTTTAATTATATGTTTTTTGGAGTGTAGATAAAGAATCTGAAATTCGTTTTTGGCGGTCGGCATCGGAAAACGGATTTTTTTCCCGAGGATCTAATTCGTCAAAAAAAATCGGGGTAAAAATCGGCAAAATCGGCGAAAAAACCTAACCTAACCTAACCGTGGTTGCAACGTCGTGGTTGCAAGAATGGGTCACCGAGGCTAAGTTAAAAACGCTATAAATCCACGGATATTGGGGCCAAGATTTAACTTACATTTTATCTAAGAAAATATATATAAATCGGCATATATAAAAATCGGTTTTCCGATGCCGACCGCCAAAAACGGATTTCAGATTCTTTATCTACACCCCAAAAAAACATATAATTAAACAAAATACTCTTTTTTTGGATGCACTTAATCTAAAGTAATACCCGCTTCATATTCACTTGTTCACTAGAGAACGTAAAAATGTTCATCATAGAACTTTTTATTTTATAAACCTAATTCCATACGCATTCCAGTATTGTTCACAACACATTCACAGAGTTTGCGATGTTCGCACATAAGTTTTCGTCCAACATAGTTTACTGATTTAACAAATTTCACGTCAAGTGATTATATATCTGCATTTTTTGTTGTCTCAGAAATATCCATAAGATCAAAATATTTTACGCGAGTAAGCCTTTCACTTATTTGTTTAATTCCAGGTGTTCGAAATTATCTAAGCAGAAGTTCCTGTATCACCAGGGGAATTTTGTTTGCGAATTTCCATATACTGTAGTGGTGGAGATGTCCTGAGCTGTTCAACTGCCTCCCTCTGATGTTCGACATCCAACATTTCATTCGTCAACGAATTTTATCAGAGGTTATTTTATACAAACTTAACGTTCGTGGAAATGCGACGGACCAATGATGAAATGATGAACGACAGGAGCGAAAACACTAAATGCTACAAATATTAATATGAGTGAATTCGATCACTAGAATAACTGAGCACAGGAGCGGTGGAATAGGTAATAGGCTTTAATAACAAGATAAAATTTCTTGAAAGAAGCAAACCAAATCCTGTACTTATACTGAATATATTTACACCCTTTGAAAACCATATTGTAGCAGAACAATAATGCAGTGTAAATTACAGAAGAACGCAGAACATATTACAGTTGAACAATCTCAGAATCATACATCTGCAGGTGCCATCATTTGTTACCCAGAACTTGACAAGAAAACCCATAGCAAAGCAATATAATGGCGCACGCTGCTACGCTGTTATCAAGTACCTATTACTATACTGACTAATCGGACTCGACACGTTGGTTAATATTCTTCATCTTCCTATCTCATTACAAATCATGAATAAGCATGCGAAATGTTTTAATTAGATCCTACAAGTTACAACTTAACATGCGATGTGGCCATGAAATCTCGAATTACTGGAAGTAACTGCATGCGCCATGAAAATAACTTGCTGCGGCTCCGCGGCCAGTCTCGAGAGGGTGCCCACGCTGCGCCTCGAGTCCGTCCGCGACGTCAGCTGAGACAACAGCTGAAGGGCGGATGTGATGTTGTGATGTTTGCAGGAGGCTGCGAAATGAGAGTATTCCATTAGTGCAGCCGAGTGGCGATGGGCTTAGTAGTGTTGGCCGGATTGAGTGTGTGTGCTGCTCATTTATAGTTTGGTAGTAGTAATATTGTGGTGATTGCTATTTAGTTGAATGGGTGGCGGGTTTCCAAGATAGTGCATAAGACTAAAATCTCGCTCCGATCTGTATTTATTACATTAGCTCGTGGTGGCCGAGTGGTTAAGATAATCGAGGTCGGCGCAGCAAATTGAGTTTTTTTTATACTTTTTTTCATCTTGTGATTGCTAAGGCGTGGGAACAACAATTCTGTTTCAAAAAATAAAATGTACCTCTTGATCTTGGCACAGAAGGATTTTGATAATGTTGTATGTGGCACATGTGTCCGGTTTTTGTGAAAGTGTGACTTAGGGATACATCTAGGCAGATCTGTAGGGAAAAAGCGCTGATGACAGATATTTTATAATAATAAGTAACCTTGTGAAAGATAAGTGGAAATCTAGTAAATCATTGCAGGATGACCAGATTGGCAACCAGACATGGTTGCCAATGATCGTTTGCTAAGTCGAAGCGTCACGCCAGTGTCGTGAGCATACGTGAAGCACAGAACGTAAAGTGTTTATGACTAATTAAACGGAGTCTGTCGCAGGTCTGCCACCTACGCAGACTTGAAAATATTTAAACGGCGTTAGCCACTCCATTTAACTTCCGAAGCTGGAAAGTAATTTAGAGTTGCTTCTTCACCCTACTCCGGCTTCAGGTATATAACAAACGCCCAGGGGTGGGCAGTATAGCGCGCTACATGTAGCGGCCGTTATATACATTTTCAGTAGCGGTAGCCGTAGCGGCGCTACATTTAAGCAATTGTAGCGGTAGCGCTAGATCCCGCTACATTTAGGGCATATAGCGGTAGCGGCCGCTTCATTTCAAAGTAGCGCTGCCCAGCTCTGCAAACACCAGAACCAGACATGTTTGAGGCTGTATTTTTTCTCGTAGAAGATCTGGCGACGCACTCTTATAGATGTCTTGTCTGCAGATATCCCAGCAACGATGTGTAATTTTTCATTCGTCTGTTAGAGTTGATCGCTCGAGAAAAACACGCTAGCAATTATTAATCCTAATATCATGAAACAGAGTCTCTTGATATCTGCAATTTTACAGTATCCGAACAGCAAAATTGAATAATCCTATTCAGGTGCTAATTTTGATGAGGACGATTTTTATTCATAGCGTTGTGTGCTGCGAGCTTGGAGTTGCTGTCTCTTAGCGTTTGTTTCGAGAGGATAGTTAATATTGAAAAATTTATAAAATAAAGTCGTCTGTAGCCACGTTTCGAATGAAAAAAACTGATGCTCTTAAGTCTAACTTAAATCAGGCGATGTGCGTGTACGTTGATGTTATTCAGGAATAGGAGGTTATCTATGTATTATATAGTCTTGTTTTGCTAATTTGAAAATTCGTATTATTGAGTGAAGTGATTATAGAATATTAGCTGTGTTTACACTAGTAGCATTGTACAGAGGACTCGAATATTCTGAGTGTGTGTTCATGAAATGCTAATAGAAGCCTTGGCATGGCCATCAGTGTTCGTTTTATAAAGCTCAGGTGTTTCGAGCTAATACACGTGTGTCTGTGTTGTCCTATATGCAAATTTGTGAAGATGCCTGTATACCTTCTTTGCTCTTGTGCTCATGGATAAAAAAAGATAAATGTTCAATTAGTGTTTGAATTTAGGTTGGCATTACAGTAATTGTGTATGAGGTGCAGGCGGGTGCATTGGTGATGTCAGGCGGAAGTCGTTTGTCAGCGGATGTTCGTCTCGTAGTATTGGGTCTGCTCTGCAATTAAATATCTTACAGCAATCTCTTATCTATTCTTTTATGTTACCCTTCATTGTCGTGTTCATCTTCATCTAGTTGATGTTTTCAACTCTATACACTGTAGCTTTGGTGAATGTGTATGCTTTTGCCATCCTAATTGATCACATTTTTTCGTAATTTGAGTCGATGAATGGGATTTGTTTCGTTTGAACTGCAGCAGTCCTACATTTTCTAATGAAAAATAAACTGTCTAAGTGTGCGACCATGATGATGAAATACCGGATGAGAGGATGCATGCTTGTCTTGAAGATGTGTTGAGTGTTCAGATCCCGGAATGCAATCCTGCTTCTATGGTGAAACTCGCTGCCTTGAAGCTGGGCTCGTAATTTAAATTGGTGTTGGATGCATGCAAGCCCGTGTCTACTTCGCTGAGAATGCGTTATGATGGCGATTACATTGTCTGATGAATGGGCCACATCTACTCATCTACTCTCCCAGTGATCATGTCTTACGAATGATGGATACGCAAAGCAAACGCTGCGTTGTCTTCTATAAGGAGTTTTTTCTGCTTTCTGCTAAGTGTTCTCTCAAATTAAGATTTTTTTTAAATGAACGCGCCTACTCTGCTGTGGTTCTTTTGACGTTGATTGGGTTCATTAACAGTATTCGTAACACGATTTTAGGAACTCCTGCATCATTACTATTCTTAACTATGTTATACCTTTCTCAGAATGACTAACAAGCTTTGAATGACTGAAAAGACCGTTGCGGATTAGCGCGACCACAATTGAATTAATTTCCACAATTATGTTACTCTTCAGGTTTGCAAAATTTCATGATTAACAAAAGTGCCATTGGTAGAAATGGCACAAGTGCGACCCTGCTCGGGCTGGCTGAAGTGGCGTGATCAGCCGTTGTATATAATTAGCTTACGTTTGGTAATCGACGTTGGTTTGGGTAATTTTGTTTGATATTTGCTGCCAGATCTTGCTAGACAAAAATTCTAGCGGAGCGGAATTTTGTTATATGCTGACGGAGATTTGAATATTTCGCAAATATGATGTGTATTCAAAATTGATATACAATATGTTACCAGTGTGCCTTAATATGCTGTGATATGATTTACCTGTGATAGCCATCAATCGTGCAGCTGGTATTTCTTGTCTTATTTCTGTTAAATAACTGGAAATATTCACAAAGTCGTTTTTAAGAGAGTAGTGAATGATTGCAAGCATAAATAAATTAAATTGAATAGTCAAAAGGTTTAAAACTGACTTCTTATGTGCATTTATTGCTGTTGTGCTCATTAAAAGACGGAGCGGCGGCGTCATTAGCCACTCTGACATACTACGCAGCTCTGGAGCACCTAAAACATCCTCAGGAATTCTTCGAATGATGAATTAAAAATCCATAATTGATACTCAAAGTCTTTGGGTTTTCGCTACTGCTAATTAGTGATCGTTTTCTGCTAATTAGTGATTCACATCTTCCGGTTGTTGATGTACTTGGCAGGAGTTGAGATTAGGAGTTTTTCACGGGGGATTTTTCTTGCAATGCGATGATCTATCGGAATTTATCTCCCAGATTAGTCCCTGACCAGAGAGGTTGTGTTCTAGATGACTTTATGTTGCATGAAATTATTACTAAATTTTGAGGATTCTTCTTACTTTTCTTATTAATACTGAAGTTCACATAAAATGAAGATTTTTCGGTTCGTGAGATTCGATAGAATACAATGATATTCTTTAACATTGTTTGCATATATTAATCTAATGCTCTTACTCATAGGCTTGTTGAAGGGAATTTTCAATATATTTCTATGTTATTACTGCATTGCTCAAACCAGATATACACTGGTATTTCTGCTCTAAAAACGATTGAGTGACATTGAACTCAAAATTTTAACAACAGTGGCCGAACATGAAGATTGTGCATCGCCCCTGAGAATGATAATCGTATTTTCTTTAATCCCAACCTGACACTATTGGTCGAATCTTTATCATACGTTGTATCTCCGTCTTTCCTTTCCGACATTTATTCATGACCGTTTGGATTCCATATCTCCCGTAAGTGATGGAGATGTTGTTGCAATACTGCAGAAACATTTTACTTGCACATTTCGTTTGTTTGCAGCGAACAGTTAGATTCACACCTCGATCTCTCTCTCTCTCTACTCGGCAGATATACGCAACGTTCGCGTCATTCTACCTGCCCCTGAGCGTGATGGTCACGGTTTACTACAAAATCTTCAGAGCCGCCAGAAGGATCGTCACCGAGGAGCGAAGAGCCCGGGCGCACCTTAAGCAAATCGAAGAATGCAGCCAAACACAGGGTCCTGGTCCATATCCTGGCGCTGCATCTTCCTCCAACGTCAAGGAGACTTGCGTGGACTCTATAGCAGTCCTGCTTGAAGACTCAAGTCATTCCATTGCATCTGCAGCCTCTCACAGGTCAGCAAATAACGCGCCTGCGACCATTGCATACCAATGTGCTCAATGCTTTTCAAATGCAAGCCCTCTACATTACTTATCCATTTGGATGAAATAGCTTGTATTCTAACTAGTGCAGTTGGTAGCCCGACCTCATAGTTCGAAAGTGAGAGTTCCGTTTTCGACAAATTCAATATTAAAGGTTTAAATCGTCGGCTTATTCATGTATCATTTTATTAGTTTAGTTAGTTACAACATGTAATATGTAATGTAACTCGATTATTTCATTATCACGTTCAACCAATTCTTTTTTACGTCGGTGTGGTCTGAACCAACGGTTATCGGGACTTAAATTACTAATTCGTCATCAGGTTTTGAGTGAATTCCGTGCCAATCCGTCATTGAAGTCTTACGACTCAGGTTTACGAGCAGAAACTTCGAATTCTGGACGATAACTTGGCAACTGAAATTGAATCTGGCACAAAAAACTCCTTCTATGACTAATGCTCCACCGGTCCGTGGGGCTCAAATGGAGCTTTCTCGAATGAAGTTTTAATGATAAAATATGTTATGAAGCTACCGTTAGATATTATTGGGCTCAAAATCGTTAGACAATATTTTTTTAAACGTTTACGCTTACTAAATTGGCAAATTTTATTGATGCGCCGGGATAACTTGTAATGATTATGCGCAGAGATAACTTATAAACTATATCCTTTACTGCGTGGACAGTTATCTTTATTGAATTATCCTTTTAACAAATTGGCTGGTAAATTCCTGCGTAAATTTTTGTACTTTTGTAATCACGAGTAGAAACTTATTTTAATGCAACTCGGGAGCGTCTAATACTATATTTTACGATAGTTAAAACTCGTTTACACAATGATACTGGCTTCTAATTCAATGTAATTAATAAATGAAGCTTAGCCGTTAATCAATCTTCTTGAAAAGCCAAGATTTCCATGCATCACGGCACTACAAACTTATCATACTGTTGTCACCGGAAAATTATTCTGGTACACTCGAAGGAATGCCATCTCGATGAGAACCAATGCTGATGAAATATGTCCTTACTGGCAGCGGAGACGTGCCTATTGCCAGCAAGAATCTGTGGTCTAGTATGCAGGAATTTCTAAGCCTCCTGATGGAAAGAGACTTCAGGGGCTTCTGTTATTGCTTCGAAGATCCCCGAAGGCGGGTGTGACGATGCGCAGAAAAAGGGCCGGGAACGGAAACGTTCTTATAACACGACTGAAGCGCGATGCTTCATGATGAAAATGACCGAGTACGGCTTTCCTCTTCCGCTGACAATATACAGTGTAAGGAATGATGACATCGTAAGAAACTGACAAAAACTGCCGTTTGACAAAAAAATCAACGAGGAGAAAAATTTAATGAATGCTCGGGACATAGGAAAAACGAAAAAAACTATTTACGACAGAACTATCTATAATAACGATGTTTTTCTCTTTGTTGCCTAGAGCTGCATTTGATTGCTATAATCGACACGTTCACGGTAGTCTTCTCGACGAGGTCTGCGACGCTATAATTTTAGTGACAACTTTTTGTGTTCAATGAAGCACCGCAAAGTGACGTTGAGGTGATGGACCATGTAAAGCAGGAATTGAAGTAGATTCCTTCTCGCCATTAGCTTACTTTCTCGCACCAGAGTCCCTATTCTTTTGCTTTCATCGGGAACTCCTTTTGATTTTTAAAAAGGGCGTGAGGGGCTTGTTAAAAGTCGCCCAAGTTGGCGTTTCAAAACTTGCTGAAGTGAACGAAAAAGTTTAAAAGTCGTCGTTGGTATTATGATTTTGTCGTGCCTTACCTTTCGTTCTATGATCTAAAAAATAACGGTTTATTCTTTAAGAATAAACCGTCTTATATTAATTAAACCCGAAAGTGAAATTATAATTTTTTACCTAAAACATATGTTTTTGAGGAGCCTAGATATAACACACGAGTTGCATTCTCATAAATAATAATGTCCGTGATTAGATGATCGCAATTAAATGTTAACTATATTTCATAGGTTCTTGTATTTCTTCTAGAATGGCTTTACTGAATCTGAATAATTAATTTTAATCGTTCTGAATTAATCACCGTCGAAGAAGAAGTTTTAAATTTCGATATTGAATTGTGAGTCAACAACAGTTTTTTTTTTCGGGACAAACTTAGCACAACACTCGCAAGTCCTTGATTCGGACGAACTACTCTCAGTATCGAGGAACCATCGTTACGAACATTACGGATCACCATCAGCCGTCTCCTTGTCCGACCCACGGCCGCTCTCGCATCAAGTTCAATCCCGGCTTTCATGATGCGCCCGTCTGATCGATCAATTGATCCCTAATGTTTGGCAACATCCGCCCCTGACTCACGCTAAGGCTTCCGCAACATTGCACTCCTTTCAACTTTTCTGCTGTCGTGGCAAGAATAGCAGAGCCAACGGTTTTGACCTCAGCTTGACAATACTGGTCAGAATCAGAAGTGAATTGTGAATTTATGGACGATAAAGCAATTTTCCCAACGAGCTCGACGATGATCACATCACGCACCTTTTTTGTTCTATTGTGGTGTATTTTTTTAATATGGCAAGAAGCGTTGAACTCGCGTCTCATATCGTGACAGATTCCTTGTGTAATGAATTCTTGAAAGGCATGCGACAGCAATTATTTAAGATGAAATTTATAATTGATAATAAAGTGTGATATTAATCTAGATACAGCATTCTCTTCACCATCGATAACGTACATTAAAATTTTATTAAACAAAAAATTAGCATTTGGAAAACAGTCAAAGTCTTCACGAGTATACCAAATCGATAGTTATATTTTAACTACACACTTCGCTTTTCATTGTCGCAGTTTGTATCAGAGAAACTAGTTTAATTTGTTATTGTTTTACAAATTGTAAAACTTGTTTTTTTATCACTTCATTCATATAAAGTTTTTTGGATTTGACAAAATTTGCGTGGAACAATACCCTTTTTTTTATTTAGGGACAGCAAAAGATTTATTATCGCATCCGACACCTACGATTTGCATATCGGAGCAATCCTATTTGAATAACCGCGCCACGTGAGCCAGTGAGGATGCGTCTCGGAAATTTCATAATTTGAAAGCTCAATGAGAAAAAACTAGTACTGATATATTATAATCAAAAATTTTATCGAAGTAGACACTACCTTAATTTTTTTATAATTTAATCTTAAAAATGATATCGGACAAATGACGAACCCCATAGGCAATGCATTCTGTTGGTCGATTTTTGAAGTTCCTTTCAACTCGCTGGAGCACACTGACTGGTATTATGGCGATGGCTTGGCGTATGTTGGTCTTCAAATGAATTGGGGTCCTTGCACAGTCATTGTAAACAACTGATTTAAGATAACCCTATAAAAATCACAAGGAGCCAAATCGAGGGATCGGGCCGGCCAACTAAGTTCACCTCTCAAGGAGATGAGGTCAATACGGTCAATATGCATCAGCGAGTAGAACGGAACTTCAAAAATCAACGAACTGAACGCATTCACAATGGGGCAGTCATTTGCCCGATTTCATTTTTAAAACAAGGTGATACAAAATTTTGGGTAATGCCTTTATCAAAAAATTTTATATTGTAGTGATATCTTGCTAGTTATTTTTTATTGAGCTTTCGAATCGGGTAGTTTGCGTGAATCACCCGGCCTGCAAAAAGCGACAAGAACACCGTAGTTATTAGTATACACACGTTTTGTCTCATCTTTCCTTATGATGCTTGGGATGATTTGCAATTTATTTGCACAGCACGTAATGATTCCGTTTGATCTATACTTCCAAAAGTTGCTGTTATAAAATAAGTTTCACTTTTCGTTACGACATCACGAAACCTTTACCGACATTCATTCTTCAGTGAAGCTCGAGCAAGATCAATGTTGGAAGTAAGCTCTCAACGTATATCACAATTTAGTTCAAACTAACCAATTTAGCTAGGTTTCTAAGTATTTTAAAGTTTCTGTTTTCTCTTATTACATTTAATGGCCTAGAACTGCGTATATAACATCTAAGATGAGGCGCTAAATGAAGCGGCAAATAGCTTCCTGATTACTTTCGCGTTCTCTTTATTCCCGGCTAGAAAATTAATTGCATTCTCACTTTCCGTTTGTTAACTTAAATGAAGCATTCACGACTGAATCTCTCTAAAACCTTCATGTAAAGTTCAACCGTAGCGTGGCAGCGGACCAGCTTTTTGTCTTTTTAAATGCTGCGTGTTTGGTTTCAGCCGCCTCAGCTGGGTAGAGAAGAAGTCAACGTTGAGACTTCTGACGTAGAAGTCAACGTAGAGACTTGACTTATTCTCACCAGGGTAGAGAAGAAGTCAACGTAGCAAGCTGCCTTGGGAAGCAGCTCGTTGCGACCTAGGCAGCCTGATCATTCATTGTCTTACCATCTTACCCTAGGAACGTCCTTAAATTTAATTCTGCTAGACATTAGCCATAACGTTTTGCTGACCAGGGTCTTTCAATTCAAGTAGGCCAGACTAAATTATGATCTTTTGTTAATCCATGTACATGCATTCCATTTAGTTCTGTTTAACCGTGTCATGTTTCATAGCTATTACCAATATTAAGTATACCGTGTGGCCTCAGAATATTAGTTAATTTTATTTTTTAAATCCTATCACGGTTGAGCCTAAAGACAGAAAGATAAAAACAATATTCAAGTAGCGCATTTGTCCGGAGACAGAGTGACATTCGGGAGACATTTTACGTTTTCGTGGGAATGCTGCATGGACAAAAATTATCTTGTGAGGGTTCAGGGGCTACATCTAATTCTGTTATGGATGATCAACTATAAAGACCAATCGATCACATTTCTTATTACGGTCGAATGAACGTAATCAATCACATCCGGAAATGGTTGAAGTATTCTAGCTCCAGTTATTTGCATGATTATGGGTGAACTTTTAGATACATCAACATATGAACCTTGTCCAACATTACCACACTTTGTATTTATTGGTAATTTTAATCTCTTGATCAGATCCATTTAGAGCTGAGCCAGATTTGAGTGTAAATATCTGTTCGTTAAAAATATGTGACAGGCTTTGGCTTCATCATCAAATAGTTATTTTAGACAAGTTACCATTGATATTCGCACAAAGAAATGACGATGAGGAACTTTCGCTAGCTAATGAAGTCATCTGGTAAACAATGCTTGTCATTACGCGTCAAAAAAT